AACATCACATATTCTTCCAACCAAACCATTTTTTCCTCAAATAAGAAGATTATCAACAAATATAATAAGAACAATGACTACTTTGGCTATGAGAAGAGATGAAGCACATGATCAAAACTATTATAATGATAGGAATGTGGATGAGAACATGATTGTTCTTCGAAAAAGAATTCAAGATATGAAGATGATCGAAAGGAATTATGAGCCACCAGATGAATGGATGGATTCGGAGAAGAATTTTTATGGAAATTATAATGCAAGTATTTGTGAAGCCATGGGATTATTGCAATATTTGTTGATGAATACAAGGCCAAGATTGGTTTTAGGCATGGTTGTACTTGTTATATTGAGTGTGCCCACATCAACTATTGTTGTGCTTTTACATGTCTTCACGCGTTTGGTTTGAATTCAAGTTATGATGGGATCATTTATGATGAAATTAGTTATGATGAGATTAGTTATGATGAGATAAATTATGTTAAAATTATTTTTATTGAGTGTTTGGTTTGTTGTATTCAAAATAATAGGCTTTGCATAAATTTTAAGAACAATTTATTTGTTTACAAAAGTATCCTTTATAAATGTGAAAAGTGATGTATAAAAAAGATTTAAAAGGATATTTTTGTCATTTACTTATTTTATCCCGGGATAAGTTATCTCGGATTACTATATCAACCAAGGGGAGGGATAACTTATCCCGGTACTAATTATAATCCCGAGATAAGTTATATTGAACATGCAACCAAACAACAAATTAAGTGTCACTACAATTTAACCTCAGGACTATTTTATGTAATCCTTCACACCAAACGACCCCTAAGAGTTTACTAAAGGGGTTTTGGCTAATGGCAAGTATTCATATTAGTTAAAGCAACAATAAAAGAAAACAATAGAAGGGGATGAAGAAGAAAAAATGTTATTTTGATGAATTTTTTAAAATTAGTATATGGTTTTAAGATTGTTTTTTTTAATTATTTGAGTTATCTTTTGAAATTTCATTAATGTGAAAGTAGAAAACGTTCTTCGTTTTCGAGTGCATATATATGGTTTTAGAATTGATTCTTTTTAATTTGTTGTGATTTTTTAAAGTTCCATTCATGGTGTGAATTATTTAATTTTGTGCTAATTATTTATTCTATTTTGTGCGTGATAGAGTTGGACATTAAAGATTCATATTTTTATGTATGAAGTTTGAAATTTTATACCCGCAAATTTGAGGTTCAGTCTCATGTGTTTGAATTTAATTTTGAAGTGACTCAATATTAAATACTTTATAATCTTTAGTTATTAAGTATTTAAAAAGCGATCTTCCAAGCACTTATGCATTGGTATTTTAAAAGACGTATATACACCTGTATTGAATATTATATCAAATGATTAATGACGATTTAAATCTGTAATTTTTCTATAAAAATTCGAAGAATTGGTGTGAATCCATTACCTACATTGAAGAAAAAATCGAAGCAGGACACTTTACTGAGCGTCAGGTAAAATATAAGTCTTGAGGTACTATGAGTCTTTAATGTTACTCCCTCCGTCTCATATTATAAGTCACCTCTTTCTAAAAATAGTTTGACCATAATATTTGTCATTTTATAAAATTTACGCATAAATTACCATATTTTGCCCATTATACCCTTGATTGATTAATTAATTAATCTTGAAAATGTATTTACTTTGACTAACCTAGGAAATTTACAAGTAATTAATTTCATTGTACTTCATTCATTAATTAACTACTTTCTTTATTCACTACTTATTCTATAAAATTTGATTTTGAAAAAAATTATCAACAAACAAATTAAAAATAAAAGATGAAAAAAATTTCAAAAATAATCTTGAAAGTTGAAATTTCAACAAATTTTATCAAGGAAGATGACATTTCAAAAAGCTCAAAGGATGTAAAACTAGAAGACTCAACCAAAACATGTGAAGGCCAAATTGAGAAAAATCAAGATCCAAAGAAAGGAGTTATGCATCATTTAAATAAAAAAACAAATGATTTGTCGAACTAGAACTAAAATTCATTTGTCGTCTAATTTCATTATCAATAACATCATATTCAGAAGGAAAATTTAGATCAATTTGAAGTAATGAAATTTGAATATTTTGTGTTGTTGTCATGTTTGCTTTGAGGATTTATATATATAAAAAAAAAAACATTTTACACAAAATATATAGGAAAATTGAGGTGGGAAAAACTTGTTTTTAAATTTTTTTTGGATCAATTGGTGAAAAAATTTGGCTCCAAAAAGTAAAATCTAAAGTCATCGAAATGCATTTATTTTTGAAATCTAACATTTCATCATTTATTATAAAGTTGTCATAAACAAACATTAAATAAGGGCATAAGGGTAAAATTACCTTATTTCTTAATGCAAGTGTAAATGGAAAAAGTGACTTATAATATGGAACGGAGGGAGTATTAATTTATGACATAGTATTATAGTAAAATAACATAAAGATTATCATTCCATTGATTCATAAGAATTTGGTACAAAACTAAGCTGTTTCTAATCTTCATCTCGTCTACTTAGTACAAAGCAAATAAAGAATCACTAAAGTAGCTCATAAATAAATAAAAATTACAATATTCCTAATATTTTTCAGTGTCCTTGAGAACAATAAGAAAATCCCAATTCAAGATTGAAACATTTTAAGAAACAAGAGAACCCCAAGTCAAGATTTATCCCAAAAAAGTGTACATTTTTAAAAAAGTTTGAATCTTTAGGATGTGTTCTATGAAAGGAAAAATATTTTCTTAGAAAATGTACTCTAGAAAAGTTAGTGTGTTTTTGGCTTAATTTCTTGTGTTCGATACATAATAATAAAAAGTTACTTTAAAAATATTTGTATATAATTTAGACAAACAATATGGAAGATGGGGGTGGGGTGATAAAGTTGTGGGATAGTGTGATGGAGGCTGAGTGGACCGGTGTAGTGAAAATAAGATATGTTGAAGGGTAGGATGACACAATAAATACAGAATGTTATTTGTAGAATTTGTTTCTCCTGCTTTCATTAGACTAATCATTTTCTAGCTTGTTTTCTTCGAGAAAATGTTTTCAAAATTTCTGACCAAACGAGAAAATTGAAAAAGATCACCACTCAAATTTCCCCAAGAATTCAAAATCTATCTCATCACGTGTAGGCCCTAGTGATGACAACTCAAATAAATTCAAGATAAAAAAGATCAGTTTCATTTAAACTCAAAAAACATAATATAATATAGAGATAATTGTCAAAAACATCTTTAATTTGCAAATTTACTATCTCTAATATGAAATGTTTGCGTTATTCAAAACACATTTACATGAACTATACTAATTATTTATCAAAACACACCTCGAAGCTGACTAGATCAAGTATTTGAATATCATCACTAAAAGTCGTGTGATAACTTAATTTGCCCATAACATTTCATCCAGTACATGTCAAGCTGACTCATTACTTTCGAAACGTATTTTAATTAACAAATGATGATAGCTCGTATAAAAAATGCAAACACTTGATAGTGGATTTATTGATACGCGTACTAAGCTGGAAAAAGATGGTTAACTTATTTCTTTGCTTATTTGTGGAAGATGCTGGGAATTGATTGTACTAAAGCTAAGTGACAGCCAATGAATACTACAGTATTTATTTATTTATTTGTTTATGCATTTATCTTATCAAATAAGTATTGGAGAGATATATCACTAGCTTATGAGTTGCGAAAAATAGTGATTAACAGTGATTATTGATCGATTAAAAAAGCTCAATATATATACTAGTCATCAGATAAAAAATTAAACATGTTAATGATGGTGATTTGAAAAGAAGTTTCTCGACATCTTGAAGTAAAACATAAAGAGAGTGTCGAGCATAATTATTGTGTCACCACAAATTCTTTTTTGTTTTTTTTGAAAGACTAAATATAATTAAAATGTATTGTCAAGAAGTGTTAAATTAGGTCTTAGGGGTGTGAGTTAGGCCTAAGACCTAATTTAACAAGAAGATGATTATCACAAGTTGAAGTTCAAATAAAAATAACTTAAATCAGACATGTATCTTAATTTAGTGAAAAGTAACTGAATTCAATCATATATCAAATGTGCATAAAGTTTAGACAATAATAATTAAACCTCAATCATATAAGATTTCAAATACCACATGTTTGAAGTAATTTTAAAATGGATAAACTTATAAATTTTATGCACAATGAATATCCCTTAAATGATGATCCAGAAATCATGTATTTATGCACTTCAACCTTATCATCCAATAATATTAATACAAAATAAAATGTAACAACATATTCTACAAATTATTAAGTTGATGCAACATGTTGTATTTCATAAGAAAGGTTAATCAACGTCCTCTATTAACACACTTCCAATGGAGTTTATTGTACCACACATGCTTTGAATTCTTAAAACACATAAATTGAATTGTTTTGGTAACTAAATTTTGTTGTATGGTCACAAAAAGATCACTCCCCACCTCCGCGCTTTCTAGCTGGCCTCTATTTATATACGCTCCTTCCCTAGGCTTCTCAATTTCCTCCCCTTTTCTCTTAAAAAAAATAAATTTTTAAGTTAATTTTTAATTAAAAGATTCAAAATTAATATATATAATACCTTAAATATTATAGTGTAGTTTTTTTTTATCGAAAAGGTTTAGATGAACCCCATACAATCTTCTAAGTCCACCTATGTTTGAGAATAAATATTATTCATTTCATGTAAGACCCTGTTTAGATGAAACCGCTCCTTACTAAATTCTTTCATATTCGGAATTTGAATTTGAGATCTGTAATTAAAGGAGAAGCTACCTCATCCGCTTATGTTCCTCTCTCTCCTTTTATTTTGCCAAATAAGGCCATAAATGCCCCCTCCATTTTCAAGATTTCTTCTTATCCCATCTTTAAGCTTTTTCCCTCTTTTTTTCTCTTAACCTTTCCAATATATATCCCTTTCCTACTTTCTTGGTTCTCCTCACTTCACATCTTTTAGCCCTAAATCTCCTCTTATCTCTCTTTACCAGCCTACAAATCAAACATACCCACTAACCCCTTTTCTCCTTGGAGAACCCTTATACACATTAAAGGTAAAAACTTTAATCTTTTTTCTTGAAAACAGACACTTGATTCTTGATTTTGCCCTTAAAGGTGAAAGCTTTAATCTTTTTTTCTTGAAAACAAACACTTGATTCTTGATTTTGCCCTTAAAGGTGAAAGCTTTAATCTTTTTTCTTGAAAACAAACACTTGATTCTTGATTTTGCCCTTAAAGGTGAAAGCTAAAATCTTTTTTCTTGAAAATAAACACTTGATTCTTGATTTTGCCCTTAAAGGTGAAAGCTTTAATCTTTTTTCTTGAAAACAAACACTTGATTCTTGATTTTACCCTTAAAGGTGAAAGCTTTAATCTTTTTCTTGAAAACAAACACTTGATTCTTGATTTTACCCTTAAAGGTGAAAGCTTTAATTTTTTCTTGAAAACCAACATTTGATTCTTGATTTTGCAATTTAGAGATATGGCTATTGCATACCCACATTTCTTTGGGTCTGAAAAAACCAAGAATTTGAAGCCATCTTTGATGGTTACTCCTACCCCATCACCTGTCATTTTATCCCAAGATGAGTTAAAGAAAATTGCTGCATATAAGGCTGTTGAGTTTGTTGAGTCTGGCATGGTTTTGGGTCTTGGAACAGGGTCCACAGCTAAACATGCTATAGACCGTATAGCAGAATTGTTAAGGATTGGGAAATTGAAGAACATTGTAGGAATACCCACATCAAGTATTACCCATGAACAAGCTGTTTCATTAGGGATACCTTTATCAGATTTGAATGCACACCCAATTCTTGATTTGGCAATTGATGGTGCTGATGAAGTTGACCCACAAATGAATTTGGTTAAAGGAAGAGGGGGGTCATTACTAAGGGAGAAAATGGTGGAAGCTGCTTCTAAGAAATTTATTGTTATTGTTGATGAGTCAAAATTGGTGAGTCATTTGGGTGGAACTGGCCTTGCTATGCCAGTTGAGATTGTACCCTTTTGTTGGGAATTTACATTGAGAAGGCTTGAGATGTTGTTTATTGAAGCTGGTTGTGTTGGGAAGCTGAGAGTAGTTAGGGAAAGTAGTGAACCATATGTTACTGATAATGGGAATTATATTGTTGACTTGTATTTCAAGAGTGATATGGGTGATTTAAAGGAAGCTAGTGATGCAATTTTGAGGCTTGCAGGTGTGGTTGAACATGGGATGTTTCTCGATATGGCGACTACTGTGATCGTTGCAGGAAAGCTTGGCGTCTTCGTGACTAATAAGTAGGATCAAGGTTAATGTGATCATGTGTTCTTTTAGCAACCTTAGTTTTCTATATAAATTTTGACTAAGATATTAGGATATGTAAGTATTGGTATTGTAGCAATCCAATTGGAGAAGTCTTGCTGAACTATTTATGTGGCAAGGACAATGTAGGTGCATTTGCAAAAAACTTATATATTGAATTATTTGGGGTATTTGCCTTAAATTTGCAATCTTTTTGAGAGAAACTTGGTGACATCTTTAAAGAATGAATGTTTCATGCTACTCACCACTTATAAGTGTTATTTTTTCATGTCATGCATTTGCTTGAGTATACTTAGAGTTTTGATCAATATTAGTCTTTGTATTTTTCGTATTCTTAGATTTGTATTCCTATTGCTTGATTCTTTAGCCTTGATTATTGTATTTTCTTGTTGTTGTTGTCATCTTTTTCATCTGTTTTGAGCTGAGCGTCTATGTGTTAGGGGATCAACCCCCATTTTACTATATTGAATGGCTACATTCAATGACTATAACGAAATCTCAATGCTGCAAAATAGAATTGTTTTAGTTTGATTTAACACTGGAATTGGGAAAAACAAAGTCATCCAGGAGGGGATATTTCATTTTGACAACAAACTTTCATTGTGAAGGCATGGACTCCAGATATGGTATGAACTGTATTCAGTTCCTATTTGGGTGATGTTACCTGGCCTAGATTTCAAATACTGGAAAGTGAAGACCTACAACTTTCAGTAAGATTGGAAGCTTCGTAGACCTATTATGGTTGATAAGAGTACTGAAAAGAAATGGGAGAGGGAGAAAGTAATGTTCCAAGAGTAGGCTCACAAAGTGGGGGTTGGGGAGGGTACGAGTTTATCCGGACCTTACCTCTACCTCCTCTAGCTACCTTAGTGGTAGATATGTTGTTTCCAATAGGCCGAGGGCTCAAGAAGACAATCCAAAGCAGTCCCAAAAAGGAAAGTAATGCAAGTACATGAAATAACAAACACTAACAACAATAGCAGCTAGTAATAGAACAGAAACTACAACAAAACAATACGATGATAATCGAGGTATATATAAGAAACAAATGAATGACAAAAACTATATGAGCAATACTACGACCACTAATATGAACGGACAACAAAACAACACACTTCCACCTATAACCATTCTACCCTGGTCCCCCCCCCCCTCCCCACCACGCTCTCGTATCTAATGTCATGTCTTCGATAAGCTAAAATTGTGTCATATCCTGTGCAATGACTAAGAAAAAGAGTTTTCAATGTGTGCAAGTGATAACACTTATTAAGTAGTCCAACCAGCTTTTCAGAGTATGAAATCCATAAAAGAAAATGTCACAAAAATTGATTGAAGTTTTAGGTTAAAGACTATTTTCGATAAAAAAAAAAGAAGGTTAATCTCACAAATAACATCTAAGAAAGATAGATACAATATACACATACCTTAACCTAAAGACTATTTTCGATAAACATACGGCTAAAAAAATTCGAAGAGGGATAGAGTAATGGCATACATTACCTTTGTTATGCTGGTTTCAGTATTGAAGGAAGATGTGAGGTGTTGGGCTTGTACGGTACGGCCCAAGTAGACGCTTCTAGTTCATACCATACTTTTCTTTTCTTGTATGTTCGTTAATTAAATCGTTGATGTGTGATATTATATATTAATGAAAAATGATACAATTTATTGAGACGTTATGTTCATTAAAATAAGGGAAATACTTAAATATGTCATCAAATTTTGGAATTAGGCTAATCTATATTATTTTTGTTTGAGAAAAGATTCATCCATTTCATTTTTTTTGTTAATAGAAAACGGTATCGCTTTTGCAAAACCATTTACACGTGGTCAATTATAAATTGGCTACGTCATTAATAAAATCATTTTTCTTACAGGAAAAAGACTCAAATATGTCATCGAACTTTAAGAAAAGACTCATATATGTCGTTTTAGTTGATAAAATAATGACATCGATGAACTTTTTCTCACACGAAAGTGACATAGATGAGTTTTTTTCCTCAAATTTCAATGAAATATTTGAGTCTTTTTACTTAAAACAATACAACAAATTATTATTTTTTATAGAAGGGATACATATATATTATATATAGTTAAACGATTATTATATTATAGATAGATTGTCAAAACGAATAAACTTATTACATGTATACCATCTTAATTTGCCTTTAGTTGTGTCATTGTTAGTTTAACCTAATCTAGACAAAATATCTGCTACTTTATTAACTCGACGAAAACCGTAAAAACACCTTACTCCTCAACTTCTTCAAGTTAACCTAAAAAAAAGTGTTGAGAAAAGAGAAACATATTTATTGCTCCTTTCCCTAAATTAATCGAGGTATATGCGAGTTAATCCGAACATTACAATTATTCTTTTTAGAAAAGAAAACCTAATGCATATACCACATAAGAGAGCCCCTAAAAGAAAATTCAAAGGAAAATTCCTATGAGGGCAAAGGGACAGTAGTGAGTTAGGTAAAGCTGTTCCTCTGTCCTAACAAAATCTTAAAAAAATCGATTCTTTAACCCAAATTACTCAGATCGATTTTCTCAGCTCTGAAACTTCGAAAATCTATTTCTACAGACACCTTTTTCTCTTCTACTGAATCTTGGCCATGTCTTGTTCAATATTTTTGCTCTTTTTGGCTCTATTTGTGTCAATTTTGGAACAATCGGTTTCAGTTTCGAACGGATCGCAGCGGGTAATTCTTCGGGCGATTAGTGGCCAAGATGGTGAAAAGCCTGACTTTGCTGTTGAATTGAACGCCACCAACTTTGATTCAGTACTCAAAGAGACTCCTGCCCCTTATGCTATTGTTGAATTTTTTGCACACTGGTTAGTTTTTTACCTTGTTTTTGTCAATGGGTTAGCTACTTTTTTGAGAATTAGAAGTTTTTTTGCTTGTTGCTTTATGTAATCTCAATTGTAACAACCCCTTTATTCCTAAATTAGTTTTATTTATACCCTGTGGTGTCCTGATAAACTTGGGTTGACTGTACTCATGGTTACCTGTGTCTAAGTAGTGGGGATACTGGATAAATCTGGCCATAAATCTTGCATATGGGAGTAAAGTGGCCTAGCTTGTTTTACCACATAAGGGATTTGAACCCTTATCTCACATGATTTTAGTTCCAGCTTCGCTGTCCAATGGGCTTTTTTCGAGAAATACGAGACATCTAAGTTCATTGATAACAAAAAGAAAAAAACGCAAAGGGGGTTCGATTGATGATAAAATAGAATGCAAGACATAGTTCAAATGATCATGGGTCCTATTGGAAATACCAGTAAAGATCCAAATTGGAAAGTGAAAAACATTCATAGTTGGAGAGAAAATTGCTGGTGCTGGTTTTAGCATGTTTATATGTATTCAAAGAACAGAAAAATGTTAAATTTCAATAGTTGTTGGGAGAAGAGAAGTTTTGGAATGACCCATTTCATTTCATGAGGCAAACTTCTTTCTTCCTTGTCTTGGTTCTGGTTGCTGGACATGTTAAAAGGATCTTTTTTAAGTTTGGGGAACCATGTACTGAGAGGATTCTGAGGGAATTATAAAGATCGTAGCTTTTTGGATCTGAGTATTTGGATTCGGTTTGTCCCATACAAAGTTTGAGTAGTCTGAATATAGACATCATAATGACGAAAAAGTTTTACTTGGTAGGAGTAAGAGAAGCTTGTTATGGTCATCAGACTCCGTCAATTTGGTTAATTTTTAGATTCGTAAATTGTTAGTTGTGTTCTTTTTATTCACCGAGCAATGTGTTTGCGTAATCCAGGAATTCTAATAACTGTTCATTGTATATTCTAGTTCTTCTTTTTGCTGGGCAATGTAATATGCGACACTGGTGGAATTCATATCAAAATTCTATAGAAGTAGGAAAAGATTAGAAAGTTAAGCATCCACATGACTTTGAGGAAAAGTAAGATGTTACCTATACTTGTTTCATTGCTGTGTGCTTACCAATAGTTTGACCAACTTTTCCATGTGTGTTCAACTTCTATCTTAAGTTCGTAATATATTATTTTGAACCAAGTCTGCATCCATGTGATTCTCACTTAAAGCTCTTTTATTCGTCTCGTAGGTGCCCTGCTTGCAGAAATTATAAGGTATGAATCTGTTTCTTATTATATGAACTTCCATTGTGATATTTCTAATGATGAGGCAATACTTTTGCAGCCACAATATGAGAAAGTTGCAAAACTCTTCAATGGAGCAGATGCCAGTCATCCAGGGATCATATTAATGACGAGGGTAGACTGTGCATTAACGGTATTACTCTATGCTTCATTTATGCTTCCAAAAATTACTTTATCCGCTATTTGTGTACATAATCTCGTCTTTATAATGGGATTTTTTCAATGGTCAGTAAGTGTATTATATTTTCCCTTTTTTCTGGTGGTTACTGAGATTTATAAGAAGTGTTCATCCTTCTCTGATGTTCTTTTTCCAAACTTTGTAGTTGTTTCAATCAACTGTAATCCATGGATTATGCTCTCTCTTTCCCTCTTATTCACCGTTTTGTATGTCTGAAAATTATAATGGAAGTTGCCTTGAGGTCATAGTCTCTCTGTCTGCGTCTCTGGGTGGACTTCCCACCCTCCACGAAGAAGAGAGTGTAGATCAGTCTGCAAGGACCGATAACAAGACAATTCGAAGCTATTCTAATGGTGTTGTAGTTATCCAAATGAGTACTAATATCTTTTGCCACAAGGGACAAGTTTAATCAGTCAGTCTTTTGAACGATCAGTCTTTCGAACGATCAGTCTTTCTTTATTTTTCTGCTCTTCTCATTTAAATTGGTTCGGGTGGGCTCAGTCAATATCGCGTTGATTGGGGATTCTTGCTTTTTTAATCATTTCACATCGTCACAGTTTCTCTCCTGTAGTGAGTTTTTAATGTACTTACTGCTTGATACCTCCCATTTATGCAGATGCTTTTCTTCAATATTTCGTTCTTTTGTCATTTGCCTTTTCTTTTTTCACTCTACTAAGTAACCTTTTTTCTTACCGTACATGATACCCCTAACTGATTTTTCCTCTTATTTCATCTTTTTGGCAGCACAGATAAATTCTAAACTTTGTGATAAGTTCTCTGTGAAGTATTACCCAATGCTTCTCTGGGGCCCTCCTAAGAAGTTTGTAGGTTGGGATCCAAAACAAGAAAATAGTGAAATACTCACCATTGAAAGAGGACGCACAGCTGATATCCTTTTAGGT